TTTTTTGTTCTCTTCCGCCACTGAGATGGGCTCCAATAGGCCAGGCAGAACTAGAGATGTAAAATTTCCATTTTTTTTCCGGAGGGGGGGAGGAAAGAGGGGGAAACCTGCTTATTTCCGGGTGAGGGGGAGGGAAAGGAAATTTCCATTTGTCAGTCGATCCCCTCTAGACAACTTTATATAAATACACTTCTTTTTCCAGAAAAAAACATGTTTTTCCCCAGAGTTTTTTTTTTTTACAAAATGGATATATTCAGAAGTTTTACATCTCCAAGCAGAAACAACACACACTTCCACAGTAGATTTCCCCCCCCACCTTTTTGACAAAATAGTGTGTGCAGGAAGAGAGAAACACAGAAAAAGGTTTGAAGAAGTGGGATTTATCCAGGAAAAAATTGCATATTGTATGATTTTTTTTATTTTGTATTAGTGGCTTTTAAAGATATCACTTATTCTTGCATTAATATTTTGTAATGGGCAAATGGCTCCCCCCTTTTATGTCAACAGAAAAAGGGGAATCAACCAACTAACCATGTAAAAATATTATTTTACAAAACAACCAATTGGTTAGTAAACCCCATTCAGTAAAGGCTGAAAAACAGATTTGTTTGAGCATGTGTTTCTGCTCATTTCTTCTGTAAAGGGCTGTGGCCTTACTTACCTGAAACCCTGCTTGATACAGAAAAGCAAGCTGGAACCACATATTTTGCTGGTTTTCTGTACTGTTAATCACAATAACAGATTGTTTGATGACACTTGGTTATGGGTGTGGTTTCAGTTTACAGAGACTCATATGCATGAGAAGGTAGGCCCTTGTCCCAATGACATTATCATCTAAGAAGAGGGACTGAGGGTCCCAAGTGGCCTCCCTCAGAGGTACAGTACTGACTAGATCCCTGAGCCACTAGAAGGTAGGCCCTTGTCCCAATGACATTACTGTTTAAGAAGAGAGACTGAGGGTCCCAAGTGGCCTCCCTCGGAGGTACTGACTAGATCCCTGAGCCACATATCTCTAGGGTGATGCCCTTCCAGCCAGGCAGTTGTTGTTTAGTCATTAAATCGTGTCCGATTCTTCGTGACCCCATGGACCAGAGCACGGCAGGCCCTCCTGTCTTCCACTGCCTCCCGGAGTTGGGCCAAATTCATGTTGGTAGCTTTTTGATGACACTGTCCAACCGTCTCGTCCTCCGTCGTCCCCTTCTCCTCTTGCCTTCACACTTTCCCAACATCAGGAGCTTCTCCAGGGAGTCTTCTCTTCTCATGAGATGGCCAAAATCTTAGAGCCTCAGTCTTCAGGATCTGTCCTTCCAGTGAGCACTCAGGGTTGATTTCCTTCATTATGGATAGGTTTGTTCTACTTGCAGTCCAGGGGACTCTCAAGAGTCTCCTCCAGCACCACAATTCAATTCAAAAGCATCAGTTTTTCGGCCAGGCAGGCAGTATGTCCATACAAATATTAATCATGTTATTTCTTTATTGGTTGATTGCTTAAAACCATAGGTCATCGCGATATATCAATGACAGCATCAAATATATGTCATCGCAATATATCAATGACAGCATCAAATATATATAATAGTGTCATATCACAATTTTGCTTAGAACTCTCTCTCTCTCTCTCTCTCTCTGTGTGTGTGTGTGTGTGTGTGTGTGTATGTGTGTGTGATATGGATATGGTTGTGTGTGTGTGTGTGTGTGTGTATGATATGGCTATAAATGAACCTACACAATTTCCAGGCTGCTAAGGTGCCTGTCAAACAGGGCTTGTGGGGAAGCTGAGAAACTTACTGAAAAGGGGAGGTTACCTTGTTCTTCACCTATTGGACAATTGAATATTAATATGGTTTTCCTCACCTCTGTGCTGTGCCAGTATGCAGAACTGGTGTGTTTGTGGGCTGAACTATAGCTTAGGAAGAAAACAGATCATGGGTGGTAGAAAGAGACCAGTACAGAGCAGCGTGGTCCTATAGGGCTAGTTCTCTTTTGTTTCCTGGAGCAAACCAGCGCTTGCCTTCTTTGGTTCCGACGTGCCACCAACCCATCCCTCGCTCTTCCTTATCTTCCCCACGCAGGTGCAGATGGCGGCTGCGGTTCCTCCCACACAGAGCCTGCGACTGGAGAATGCATCCATCCTATCCGAGGGGGCCCTTCAGGATGGGCATCGCCTTTGGATTGGAAACCTCGACCCCAAGATTACAGAGTGAGTGAGGGAAGGGTGAAGGAACTGAGACTCAGGAGGAAGGGGCAGAAGGGGGGGTATTTCATGGAAAAGCAACGGAGCCCACTCACGGTAGAAATGAACAAATGTGTAGGCCTCAAGACTTGTAGGTGCCGGCCAGTTCATCAGATAGGATAACAAACATGTTCATCGTTAAGATGTTATAAGCCTCTGTGTTACTTCTACTGCAGTGGGTTAGCCCGGCTTTAACCCGCTGGAAATGATCTAGAGGGAGGGGGCTACAGATCAGTGTGACTTTGAGTTCCATTTTGGAATGTTTAATTAGCATTGGCCTTATCCTATGGCTGGATAAATGAACTGTTGTTGTTTTTTTGTCGTGCTTCTCCTTCAAAGAATGAGGACCCCCCCCCTCTCCTGTTTCAGGCCAATGTTAAAGTCCGTATCCTGTAACCAAAGCGGTTCTGGATACCGTGCTGCCACTTAGCATCCTTGTCCAGGGCCTCTACCCTGTCTCCTTTTTGCTTCTGGTCCTCATTCCTGTTCACAAGGCTAGTTGGCGTGAGGGCCTTTGTTACCCGAGCGGCCGAGTCAACGGGACCCTCCGGCTGAGCTTTGTGTGGGCGGAAAAGCCAGCCGGGCCTCAGACGCACCCTCACGTATCGCTGCTTTCGGGTCGTCTACGAACTGCCTCTAATAACCGCAGCTGTGTGGGTCCTCCGGTCCCGTTTCAGGTGGCGGCGAACGTTAAGTGTGTGCGTTTGACATTCCCGTGGCCTCCGAAATGATTAGTGTGTTTAAATTGCGTGCTAACACATTTTCAGCAAGTTGAAGTGCGGCAATTAAACACCAAAGCAGGAGAGCTTGATTGCTCCGAGGGATATTAGATGCACCGGGCCGGGGTTCTGGCAGCCGTCTTTGCGTCTGCCCACCCCACCTCGGCTTTAGAAAACAATCTCCGATTTATGCATTCCAAGTGGCTGCTTGTGCTTTATCGCCCGGATATTGTCTGCCTCTCAGCTGTGGAGGCAATTTTTGCCCAGCGTCTTGCGTTCCGGCAAGTGCCTCGAGTTTTTTGTTCCAAGTGGCGCTCCTTTCAGCCGGGCAGCGTCCTAATCGAGCCTCTAAGTGGAGTCCGTCATTAACGTAATGCCCTCTTCAGGCGATTCATTCAGCGCCGTGCAGGCTGGCCTCTTCCCAGTTTTGCATTAATTACCATTTTTTTTAAAGCCCCGGTGTTTATATTGCAAGCTTTCTCTGCGGTAAATAATTGCCGGTGCTGCTCAGCTGACAGGCCTCTGAGGTCTTTCGGAGAAGTGTCCGTTGCGTGAAAGTTTGGGGTGAAATGAAAAGCCTGGGAGTGGGGCAAAGAGGCGAAGATGGCCGGGTCTCTGTTTGAGTCGTACCCAGGAATTTAAAAGGGACATATTCTGGCTTCTTTCATAGATGGATTGGGAGGTGGGAAGAGTTTGTGGATCTCACTCAGATTTTTTTTTTACACCTTGTGCAGAAGCTTGTTGATCTTTTTATGTTGAAACGTCAGCAGGATGGCCTTGAGGGGCTGTTTCTTTGCCTTAATTGTCTGCTTTTTCCCCTAATGAGCACAAGGTGGCATTCCTGGCCCTCCTTTCTGATTTGAGCAACAGCAGCCCCATGAAGTAGTTCATCGTCAGAGAGGGAGTAGTGAGACCATGTCACCCAGTGAACTTTCTTTCTAGCTTAGTGGGGATTTGAACCCAGGGTTGTGACTGTGGCCTGCACTCTTTAACTACTACACCAGTCAGAGGTGGTTTCTGCACCCTGGCAACACCTGCCATTTGTAGAGCTTTAAATGCAAGAACCTGATGGCCCCTTCCCCACAACTTATATTCAAGTGGTAGACTGCTGCTGAACTTGGAGGTTCTCCTGGGTTTTCACAAGTAGTGTCCACTCCTTTCTCCGTGAGTTGTTCTATTTCCCCTTTAAAGCTTTCTAAGCCAGCAGCCATTATCCCAGGATGAACCAGGTTTCCTTCACCTTCAAAACCTGCCAAGGGGTTGAAAGGGGACACCTTAGATGAGGCATTTTGGAACCAGTCTTTTTCCTGCTGTTCCTAGCAATGTGAAGCTCCAGCAAGGGGGTGGGGAAAGTGGTAGGAAACCACATGGATTGTTTTCTTTTCTATGGCCTTTCCTTCACTACCTTCTCCTATGCTGCTTTTTCCCAGGGTTTTAAATATTATTTGATACATTCCAGTAAGAATTTAGAGAGAGAGATCCCACTTTCAAGATCTCCTGATGAAATCCCCTGGAATTTACCGGCAAGCACTAAGACAGCCTGTTCCCGCCGTCTTCCTTCCCTTGATCCGCCTGAAAATGCACATCTCTTTCATGAAAGCTGCGTTAAAGAGATCCAAATAGTTCTGTGTTCTCTATCTGTGCCTCGTAGTGTCACTCCTTTGAACCCCTGTTGAAAAACATTCGGCCTTCAGAGGTCTCCGCGTTTTGCCTCTTAAGAACCCGAAGCCGGCAAGCTTCATTCAGCAAACAGAATCTCTTAACAATAGTCTACTGACTTCCAGCGGGGTTAGGATCCCCGGCCGGCCCTAATAGCTTTAGCATGTGGCCGGGACCGTTCTCATATCCTTGGGACAGCATCGTGGAAAGGAAGCCCCTGTTCAGAGTTTGAATAGCTCAGAGGGTGCCAGGAGGAAAACTGACGGAAAAGGAAACAGGTCTTGGACGGGCTGTCCCGTGTTTTGGCTTCGGATGACAGGAAGTACGGGACGAGATCTGGCTGGAGGCCCCAAGCGGAGGGGTGACCTTCCCTTTCCTTCAGGGCGTGATCAGCCCAGGTACCCCCACTGAGATGTCGGCGGTAATTTCCATCAACTTGGTTTCCTCTTTCTCTCCTCTTAAATGGGGCTCTCGTGTTACTCTCGTCCACCGTTTCTGGGCCTCCTAGATAATTCTTTCTCAGCATCAGTCCTGGACGGTTGGAAATAAGGAACTGAGAGGGGACCGTTTGACCGTGAGGGTGTGCTAAATCTCTCAACCGGATAGCAAGGTTTACATGCAACTTAAATCCAGTTGCTAGCCCCTATTAGGGTTAGACCTGTTGAATTAATGGTAAGTCATCACTTACCATAAATCCCAGTAATGCAATGGGTCTACTCTAGTTGGCTCTTGCAGTGTGATTTAGACTTATCTCTATAATTCATTTATTTTTCTTTTCAATTTCTTGCCCCCCCCCCCCCACTGCTGGGGCTCAGGGCAGTGCACAGCTTGAATGATTAAAAAAAATAATACAGTACACCTAAAAACACAGTCAGCCTGGAAAATAGCATTTCTCGAATTCAAGCCATTTAAAAAACACTTTGAAAGCATATCTGATGCAAAAGAATAAGGACAACAGCCTTAAATTGTGCGCACGGATGTCATTTTGAGATGTGGATTCCTTTAGGGAAGCTGTGCCGCATTTTGATCTGGGGTCCCTAGAATTATTTTATATCCCATCTGCCAAAGCTTTAGACATTCTGTGTTATGGCGAGCAATGAAAGGGAAAGGCGCACATATACGCGGGGAGACAGACCTCTGCAGATCCAAATTCCCAGCCAGACAGTAAGACGACCTCTTCCAGGCCAGGTTGATGGTCTTTGTAGTTCATCAGCTACAGGGCTGCCAGCAGGTATGAAAGACAACGGACTGACCTTGTTTCATTTGCCCAGTAGCTAGGCCTCTGGGATAGACTTCTTCTGAGCATGGAAGTTTTATTCTCAACCCCCATGTCTATAATGAGAACACCACCCCCTGGTTGTGTACATGCCCAGCAAAACATTGTAAGCCAGTACCAAGTGGGCCCCCTACCCGGAGTGGTGAAGAGCATGTTGTTACTTCTTCCTAGGCCTGAACGTGCAGCCTTGGGCTTAATCCATTCATCAGGCTGCACTCTTGAGTTCACCCAATTTCATATACACTGGCATCACACAAAATCTGGCATACTCTTTAAGCTCCATGACGCTGAGGCTGTCTTGCTTCCCAGCTGTGCGCCTCGGAGATGCTGTGTGTTTGAGGGGTAAGATGCATGTTGAATTCTGATGAAATCAAGGCTGATGCGCAGCCAGGCCAGTGGGCCCCTAAAATTAGGTGCTTTCTGAAGGTGTGTGTGGGGGAGACGTAGTAGTCAGTTGTTCTTCTGGGCAAGAGGGGGAGGCCTTTTTTCCTTCCAAGGTCAAGAGGCGCCGAGTCCCTTCGGGCCGAAAGGAAAGAGAAAGCGGGCATGCGGGATTCTTTTGTGCTTGAAACAATAGCCAATAAATCTTGCGGGTGAGTTTCAAAGGAATGAACCGCCCAAAAAGCTCCATAGCGATTCTCTCTCGGAGGTTCAGTATCTTTCTTGGCCTGCAGGAGGGGACCGCTTGCGGCTCTGTGTGTCTCGGAAAGGCTTTCCTCCTTTGCTTCGGCCCCCCGTTAAGCAGAGCTGGCTCCCCTCTCCTGTTGCAGGAGCGTATCCGTAGTAGTAAACCCGGCCGGAGGGTAGGGGGACTGTTTCTGTTCCTGGAATCTTTTTCACTCATCCAGAACTTTGGAGAGAACTGGCTGCCTAGCATTGCTATGAAACCCACCGTCTGACTGGAAAGAACGCGAAGTGGTCGCTGGGGGAAGGTCTGTGTGGCCTGATCATTGCTGATAACTGTTGAGATGGTCATGCGTTTGGCTGGGCCCCATCTTGTCTGGTGTTTTGAAGCACCTTTTAGCAACTGCATGATCGGCTTCTTGCTCCTTCATTGTGATTGGAAATCTTTTGAAGAGGTGGACATCTTTCTCTGTCTCCACGCCATGAGAGGGGCTCGTGTGGCAACTCATTTCTTATTTCCCCCTTCCCATCACCGTTGTCCTGATACAGGGGCCCGTGGCAATGCCTTGTAGTGGAGAAAGGCGCCAGAGAGCGACTTCTCCCACTTTTTCATAGTTCGAACCCACGAGGGCCATCCCATGAAAAGCTGAATGGTCAGAGACCCGGGGCTCAGGCAAAAGGCTTCTTAGAGCATCTAGTCGAACTCTGGAACTTCCTGCCCCAGGATATTGTGACAGCTGCCAACCTGAATTGGGTTTAAAAGGAGACTGGACACATGGGTGGCAGATGGTCCCATCAGTGGGGCTGCTGGTCAAGAGGGTTGTGTATTATCCCCAGGAATCAATCCACAGGTTTCTGGATTTAGAGAGTTGTGAGAGACAGGATACCTCTGTGGCCCTGTCTTGCCATTAGGCTTCTCTTTGTTGCTCCTGTGGGTGGTGAGGGTGACCTTCCGTCTGATCCAGCATCAGGATTCCCTTTATGCAAAGGTCTTCACAGGTTGCCCTCCCTCTCCTCTTCGTCCAGGTACCACCTCCTCAAGCTCCTTCAGAAGTTTGGCAAGGTGAAGCAGTTTGACTTCCTGTTCCACAAGTCGGGTGCGCTGGAAGGGCAGCCCAGGGGCTACTGCTTTGTGAATTTTGAGACCAAGCAGGTAAGAACGGTGTGTTTTTTGTTTATTTGAAACACCGGATAGCCCTTTATCGTGTGTCTGACCCCTGACCTTCCACTTCCACCAGGAGTGGACAGTTATTAAGGTCCTGGCTTTTTCTTTCTTTTGACCTACAACTCCTGTTGGTCCTGATGGAGAGGGATGATGGGAGTTGTAGCCTGTCTTCAGGGCCACTGTTGTAACCGAGAAGCTGCTGATGGAGCTTGAATCAGGGGCCTTCTGTGTACAACCCAGGTGCTTCTTGGACAGGATGCATGAGGCTCTCTTGGCCTCTTGGGGAGAAAAAAAGCTTCATTCTTTTTCTCTTTCTCATACAGGAAGCCGAGCAAGCCATCCAGTGCCTCAATGGTAAACTGGCTCTCTCCAAGAAGCTGGTGGTGCGGTGGGCCCACGCGCAGGTCAAGGTGAGCAGAGCTCATAGGCTGGGTTCAGGAGGAGAAAGTCCCGATTCCCCAACTTGAACGGGCCACTTTTCTGAGCTCACTGGAGAATCGTGTCTGGGTGCCAGCACAAAGAGCACACACAGAAAAACAGCAGGATCCAATCAACGAGATTGAAAGGATGATTTTAGCCTTTGCTAGAGAAATTCAAGTGAACTCTAAATATTAAAAGCAAGTAATCTCACTGTAGGTCGAGACTAATGTCTAACGTTGAAGGGACGATAACACAAACATGTAAAAACCAAAGGCTTTTATATTACACTGAGCATATGGCGTGATGCGTTAGAAGTGATTTAGGAAAACAAAACAAGATTCCACACCAAAAGCCTGTGCATAAACACATGGACAAAAAGGATGTGGCCTTCATCTCTTTCTCCGTCGTCTCAAAACAAACTTGTTTTTAGCTAGGAAAAGTGTATCATCCTATAAACACCAACTTCTAAAACCTGCTTGTAAAATTTAAAATATTTGAAACTACTGGAGCACATTTTAGAAGCTGTCTTTTCACACCGATACTCTCTGTTGGTGTCTCATTCCCCCAGTTCTATAGGTGGCTTTCGTACCTGTCCTCCTGACTTCCTTCCACTGACATAGTTTCTGCTCTGTCTCTTTCCCTGCCCAGAGATACGATCAGAATAAGAACGAAAAGATCCTTCCCATCAGCCTGGAACCGTCATCCAGCACCGAGCCGGCCCAGTCCAATCTAAGGTAAGATGCTTCCAGAGACCTCATAAACAATGGCAAAAGCCTTCATCCATTGGTCTCCTGTGGGATCTGGAAGGCAAAGGTGGAGTGCCTCTGAAACTGGAGGTTCCATTCAGCCAATCTCGGCTGTTGATTATCTTCCTTGTCCAGTATTTCTAGGGCAGTATTTGGGGACTGGATTAGTCTGTAATTGAGGGATCCCAGGCTTTTAAACATGTAAGAAGCTGACTTCTGTTCTCTCCTCTGTAGCGTCAGCACGAAAATCAAAGCCATCGAGGCCAAGCTCAAAATGATGGCAGAGAACCCGGATGCTGAGCTTCCCCAGGCGGCGCCTTACGCGTACTTCAAGCCCCCAGACAAAAAACGGACTGCCCCTTATTCCCGGGCGGTGTGGAAGTCGAAGAGGTGATCCTGTGGCCCGGGCGGCATCTACCATCCTCTTCTATTTGTGCATAAAGTTAGCAGGGAGAACAATGGACGATATGGAGTTGGATGTGGTGGCCTCCTGCACCTCGGCTCTTGCTTCGTCCCACTGGCGCCTGGAAATGAATCCTCTCCAGTGGAAATAAACACGGATGTTGTTCCCAAACCTGTAAAGAACTTAGCCAGGCTCCAAAATTTTGTTGTTATTGTAGTAAAACCCAAAGCATCATCGACCCATGCCAGGGTGGCTACTCTTTTCTCTAAAAGGTGGGTGCGGGTATGATTTGACTGTCTAAAATACTTCTCTCCCTTAGTCCAAAGTCAAAGACTTTAAACGTGGTTAGTTATCTGTTTAGAACATGTATTTGACAAATGACTAAACATGAAGTGAACGGCACAATTTCACCGTCGCACCCCTGTGTCTCTGGGACTTTGTGGGGGGGGGAAGAAACCCTGAAATGGGAGGGAAGAGAAAAACGTTGCTTGTTTAGCACAGCCGGGAATGCTCTGGGGCATATGTATCAGTACCTTTTTAAATAGTTGTACAGGAATAAATTTTATTTAGGCTTTCCAAGTGGTGTTTTACTTTTTTTTGTTTGAGAGACCTCAAAGGAGAGAGGCTTCTAAAGCCAGGGATCTTCTGCCTTACAAATAAGCAAGTCAGAATCCTGCCAATGGTGCGTATTTACGTAGTTTATCCTATGCATATTTTGAGCAGAAGGACAACAGAATCCATGACCTCAGGAGGTGGTGAAGGGCTCCAACGCTGGAGGCTTTCAAGAGCCAATTTGTCCACCCTCTGTCCGATCTGCTCTGACGTGGATCCCTGCCTTGAGTAAGGGGTTGGACTCAAGGGTCTTAGAGACCCCTTCCAACTCCCAAAGAGGGAGAACTACTATCTAAGATGCTATAATCGCTGCCCCTTACCTTCCCATCACCTCCTGGGGATTTTACTCAACGGTCCAGCCACTGCTTCAGCTTGACCTGGCAACCTTGGGGTGCATCGAGGGGTCCGGTTTGGGCCTGTGGGGTCCTTTCAGAAAGCTCCCACAGCATCAAGGAATGGAGAAGGTTGGGGGCTGCCAGGCTAGCCCTCATTTCCCTTTTTTCAATTCTCGGCAATGGGGAGTAACTGTGTTTGCTTGTAGAGGTGACACTTTAGCCACGAGTTTTGTGGCCTGTTGTGAAGGAATAACTTTTATATAACATAACCTTTTGGGCATCTGGAGAAGCAATGAAGTGGGCTATTTAAATTAAAGAATTTAAATGTAAAATTGAAGAAGCCACAGAGCTTACTTTTTTCATTGCTCTGGTTAGTTGCTGTGATTTGGAAGGGGGGGGAGAGCAGCATTGAATGGTTCCCCATGGACCACACACCTTTCTCTCATCCTCATGTCAGCCTCATTCCGTGTGATTATTCCTTGCGGGTTAGGCCTTTTTGAAAGAAGCTCGCTCTCCGCTCGTGTGTTTGTGTACATGCACCGGCAACGGATGGGAAACGGGCTGTCATTCTGCCAAGTGGTGCAGAAAACAGAGCTGGGTGCCAGAGAGCCAATTGGCGTAGGAGAGCATCTCTGTCATTGCCGATCCTCTTACCTGGTTGGACGGGCACAGCGTCGTGCCCAAGGGGGGAAGCGACCTTGGCTACGCCTTCCCCGCTGATTAACCGCAGGCACAGTCTTACCGGGCCATTAGCCTCCTCCTGATTCAGTGCGGGCATCCAAAAGGAGCATTCGGACCAACTTTTGCTTACTCGGTTTATGCCTGATGAAGTGGACTTGTCCACGAAAGCTTGCATTAAAAATATATAAAAATTCTTCTTTTAAGGTGCCACCACATTTTCATCTTTTTTTTAAAAAAAAAACTTTTTCTTCCTGTTTTGCTTTTTTACCCATAATCGATTTATGTCATTCCATTTATATCCCTTTTCCCTCAAAAGAGCCGAAAGCAGCTGTTGGGGCTCACTCTCTTGCCTTACGTTTCTCTTCACAACAATAGCCCCCCCCAAAACAGTCTGACACCCCAAATCAGTATTTAGCTCTCTTTTAGCATCGTGAAAAGTTCTGTGTCTTTTTAAAAATTATTGTCAAGGTTCTAGTCCTGAATGCTGAAAACAGTTGGGCGGATGAAGTTTTCCAGATGCTATCGCAGGTTTTCTTCCAGGAGAGGAGAGCGGAGGGGGAGAAGGGTGGGTTGGGCGTTGTGCAGGAATTGCAAGTCGGATCTGTACCATTTCTGAACAAGTCAAAAGAATTTCACCTTAAGAAAAGCTCTTTCTTTCTCTGTAGGTCCTAACATCCAAAATACTCATTATTCAAAACTGGAAGTGGATTTGTTGCCACTTCTGTTTTCTTATTGTTTATTTATTTTTTTCCATGGGGCATGTTGTTGTTGTTTTTTTGGCGCTCCTTGAGGTCTCTCGTTCTCCCCAAAAAGATTTTTGACCGCTGTCCTAGAGAGAAGCACCCATATATATATCCCTGTATGCTGAGAACTGTTGAACGTGGCGTGAGAATTATCCATTCCGCGTGCCCAGGGGATTATGTTCCAGAAGAGAGGTGTGGGATGCAGAGTTCCTTCCCACCTACCCCCACATACATATACACCCCCCCACGCCCACAGGCCGGAAAACTAGCCCTCTGGCTCAGCTGGCAGACCTACAGCGATAAAAAAACGCATATCCTGTTAATTTCCTCCATGGACTCTGCACATCCCTAGAGGCGCTCTTGGCCTTAGACCACCTCCATCCAATAGGTGTGGGGGCTGATCCCCTCCAGGCATCTCCAAGGAGATCCGGGCACACCCTTTGCGCAGGCTGCTTGCCTCTTTCTCCCCTACCTCTCTCTCTCTCTCTCTTTTCCTCTCTCCCTGTTGAGCTGGAGGGAAGGAAGGAAGGAGGAACTTAAGAACCTGGAAGGGGTGGGGAGCATCCCAAGGCAAAAAGCGAGAGAGCAAGCGTGTGTGTGTGTCATATCCAGAGTCCTTTTCTCCAGCAGTCACATCTGAGCGGCTGGCCGCAGCTGTCGAGGGGAGATCCCTCTTGTGATTCCTTCCCCCCCTCCCTCCATCCATGTTCTGGAAGAATGAGACCTCCGCCCCTCAGCCGGAGGGTGAGCAGCCAAGGACCGAGGTGAGAAGGCTGGCATTGGGGGGGTGGCATTCGTGGTGGCTGGGGAACCAGGGCGGAGAAGCAAGGAAGATGGGTAGATTCTTCCAGCCCATCTAAGAAGAAGAAGAGGGGAAAGGGGTGGGGTGGGGAGAAATGAGCCCCACACGATCTTTGGGTCCTGATCCCCCAAAGAAGAGGGTGGGTCTCCTCCTCCTTCCTCTTTCCTGGGGAGGCCGGCGGGCTGCTCCCCGGCTGCCAGTCGGACGGGATCTATAGGGGGGAAAAGGGCACCACCACACACTTTTCCATTTTTTGGCAGAGAGAAAGAGAGAGACCGGCTCATTTGGGGTGGGGGGTCAGCCCTGAACAGACGATGCAGGCGGCTCCCCTAAAGGGGAAGGGTCTTGCCTGCCTTCCTCTCTCGCTTTTCTATCGGTGTGTGTGCGGGTTCTGGGCTTCAAACTTGCTGCCTTTTTTTCCCCTTGAGCTGGAGTGCATTTGGGGGGGGTTCAAGGTCTTTGCCTTGGGGGTGTGGAGAGAGACTCTCCCCCTTCTGCTTATATATACAGTATGTATATTGGTTCTTTCTTAAAGGGGAAGGGTCTTGCCTGCCTTCCTCTCTCGCTTTTCTATCGGTGTGTGTGCGGGTTCTGGGCTTCAAACTTGCTGCCTTTTTTTCCCCTTGAGCTGGAGTGCATTTGGGGGGGGTTCAAGGTCTTTGCCTTGGGGGTGTGGAGAGAGACTCTCCCCCTTCTGCTTATATATACAGTATGTATATTGGTTCTTTCTTTTTGGGGGGCTGTCATTCTCTC